TGTTTCATAACTTATCATCAAGTGGTGGTCGAAATTCATCATAGAATTTGGTGGATTTCCAACATCTGGTATCAGAGCTTGTGTTTCGATTCAAGGGAAGTATCAATCAAGAACGATTGAAGAATTCAAGATGACAAGTTATGGGAATGCAAACTATCCAACAACGCTGCCAATTCTGAAAGTTGACAACTATGAGAATTGGTGCAAGCAGATGAAAGTCCTATTAAGGTGTCAAGGCCTTTGGGACCTTGTAAAAGATGGAGTCGAAGCACTTGGCGAAAACGCTTCAGAAGAAGAAAAGAAGAAATATACAGAATCTGAGAAACAGAGTTATAAAGCATTGTTTATAATTCATCAATGTGTCAGTCCAGACAATTTCGAGAAGATTGGTGATTCAGAATCTGCAAAAGAAGCTTGGAGATCCTGGAGAAGTCTTTTGGAGGCGCTGAGAAGGTGAAAGAAGTGAGGTTACAAACTCACAAAAGGACCTATGAACTGCTTCAGATGGAAGACAGTGAAAACATATCTGATTTCTTCACTAGAGTTACAAAACTAGTGAATCAAATCAAGACATGTGGAGAAACATTAACAACAAGAGCTGTTGTTTCGAAGATCCTGAGATCCTTAGCTCCTAAGTTCGACCACATAGTGGTGGCGATCGAAGAAGGGAAAGACTTGTCGAAATTGACAAAGGAAGAACTTCAAGGGACGCTCGAATCTCATGAACAAAGAATGAACGAAAGAGCTGCAGGAAAATCGAAGAGTGATGTGGCCTTGCAGGCACATTCAGCAAAAGAGACCAAAGGCAAAGGAAAGTATTTCGACAGAAGTAGAGGTGGCTACAACAAATCGAATGGTAGAGGAAACCAAATCGAAGGAGACGTGTCGAATCAAAGAAGACCACACCAAGGCAACCAAAGAGGTGTTTCTGCAAACAGAGGAAGAGGTGGTGGTCGAAAACCTGATAAGAGTCACATTCAATGTTACAATTGTCAGAGGTATGGTCACTATTCGAGTGATTGTCCAGAAAAACGAAAGAATCAAGAAACTGATGCAAAGCTTGCAAAACATGAAGAAGAAGAAGAGATGATGCTGATGGTCACAACAAGAGATGAAGACAGATTCAAGGACCAATGGTATTTGGATTCAGGATGTTCATCACATATGTCTGGAAGGAAAGACTGGTTCATCAATATAAAACCCTCAACGAAGAATATGATAAAATTTGCAAATGACAACACATTAGCAGCTGAAGGTATTGGTGATGTTATGATCATGAGGAAAGATGGCAAGAAATCAGTAATTTCAAATGTATTATACATACCAGGCATGAAGAGCAATTTGCTCAGTATAGGGCAGTTGGTCGAAAAGAACTATAAAGTGTCAATCAAAGATAAGTTGATGAGAGTCGTTGATGCAAATGGGAGATTAATCTTGAAGGCTCCTATGTCTCAGAATCGAACCTTCAAGATTGAACTAAACGTGATGGAACACAAGTGCCTTTCGACTGCAGCTAGCAGAGATGAATGGATATGGCATTATAGACTTGGTCATCTCAACTTCAGAGACATCAAAGATTTGAAGAGAAGAAATATGGTTTCAGGATTGCCTGAAATTTACATTCCAAACGAAGTATGTGAAGAATGTGTGCAAGCGAAGCAACACAAGAACAACTTCAGCAAGGATGCAGGAAGCAGATCGAAGGCTAATCTCGAAGTCATATACTCTGATGTATGTGGACCAATCCAGGTGGATTCGATGGGAGGTAACAAATACTTTGTTACATTCATAGATGATTTCAGTCGAAAGCTATGGACTTACCTGATCAAGAAGAAAAGTGAAGTGTTCGAAGTATTTATCAAGTTCAAGTCCATGGTCGAAAGACAAAGTGGTCGAAAGCTCAAGGTTTTGAGAACTGATGGTGGAGGAGAATATGTGTCGAAAGATTTCGACAAATTATGTGAAAAAGAAGGGATTGTGCATGAGGTGGTGCCACCCTATACTCCACAGCAAAATGGAATTGCAGAAAGGAAAAATCGAACCATCATGAACATGGTGAGAAGTATGTTGAAAGGAAAGAATTTACCCAAAGAGTTCTGGGGTGAAGCTGTTTCGACTGCAACATATATTTTGAACAGAAGTCCTACAAAGAAGCTAGAAGGAATTACTCCAGAAGAATGTTGGTCTGGTGTGAAGCCTAGCTTAAGTCATCTGAAAGTATTTGGATCTATTGCACATAGACATGTGCCAGATCAGTTGAGAAAGAAACTTGATGACAAGTCAAGTTAAATGATCCTAGTTGGATATCATTCGACAGGAGGCTACAAGTTATTCGATCCAGAGAACAAGAAGATTGTGATCAGCAGGGACGTGATCATAGATGAGTTCAAAGAATGGGATTGGACTACAAATGTCAAGAAAGATTCAGTGGGAATCTTATTCGAAGAGCCAGAAACTCAAGTCGAAAGAGAAGTTCGACAAGAGGAGCCAGCAGATATACCCAGTACAAGCAGACCTCAAAGAACAAGACGCATGCCTGCAAGATTGCAAGATTGTGTGATTACATCAGATGATGTAATAGATGATGAAGGTGAGCTGGTACATTATGCTTTCTATGCAGATGTCGAACCTGTTAATGCAGCTGAAGCATTAAAGGATTCGAAGTGGGTGAAAGCAATGAACGAAGAAGTAAAGTCTATCGAAGACAACAACACTTGGTCACTTGTTGAATTGCCTCAAGGCAAGAAGGCAATTGATGTCAAGTGGGTATACAAAGTGAAGACTAATTCGAAAGGTGAAGTAACTCGACACAAAGCAAGACTTGTGGCGAAAGGATTTCTACAGAAAGAAGGAATAGACTTCGACGAAGTTTTTGCACCTGTTGCTAGGATCGAAACAATCAGGTTGGTTGTTGGTCTAGCAGAAATCAACAGTTGGCACATATGTCAGATGGACGTGAAGTGTGCATTCCTAAATGGACCCTTAGATGAAGAAGTTTATGTTAAACAACCAGTTGGGTTTGTGAAACATGACGAAGAAAGAAAGGTGTACAGGCTACATAAAGCCCTGTATGGTTTGAAACAAGCTCCAAGGGCTTGGAATAAGAAAATTGATAGTTTTCTAAGGGAGAAGGAATTTGTGAAGTGCATAACTGAACATGGAGTATATGTAAGAAGAAGCAAGAGTAAATTGCTTATACTATGTCTCTATGTAGATGATTTGTTGATAACAGGTAGCTGCAAGAGTGAGATCGAAGACTTCAAAGTTGATCTTAGCAAGGAATTCGAAATGTCTGATTTGGGTGAGATTTCATATTTCCTTGGTATCGAATTCTATAAAAGCAGTAGAGGTTTGATGATGCATCAAAGAAGATATGCAGGGGAAATTCTCAAGAGGTTTGAGATGGAAGAATGAAACTCAACTTCGACACCTGCAGAACCAAGACTACAACTGTCGAAAGATGCAGATGAAGATGATGTTGATCCAACCCAATACAGAAGACTTATTGGATCATTGAGATACCTTTGTCATTCAAGGCCTGACTTAGCATACAGTGTAGGTATGGTAAGTAGATTCATGCAGAAGCCAAAGGTATCACATCTAGCAGCTGTGAAGAGGATACTAAGGTATCTCAAAGGAACTTTCGATTATGGCATTCTGTTTCCTGCAGTTGATAAAGGAAAATAATGCAAGTTAGTGGGATACACTGATTCGAGTTGGTGTAGTGATGCTGAAGATCGAAAGTCAACAGCAGGATATGTGTTTATGCTAGGTGGTGCAACAATTGCTTGGAGTTCGGGAAAAGAACCAGTAGTAGCATTATCATCATGCGAAGCAGAATACATAGCTGCTTCTCTTTGTGCATGCCAAGCAACCTGGATGGTGAACTTGGTCGAAGAGATAACAGGGAAAAATAATGGAGCAATTACCATGAAGATAGACAACATGTCAGCTATCAACCTGGCGAAGAACCCAATAGCACATGGTCGAAGTAAGCACATCGAAATGAGGTTCCATTATCTTTGAGAGCAGGTAGCAGATGGGAAGATGAATTTGGAACACTGCAGAACTGAGAATTAGATTGCGAACATCATGACGAAGGGAGTGCAAGTCGAAGTACTCAGAAAGCTAAGGGCCATGATGAACATAGACAGTTTAGACACAATTAATTAGGTGGTGTGTTAAATTGTAATTCATAGGTGTCAAAAGAAGATTTGATTTGTTTAGTTTTAAATAGATTTGAATTTAAATCTAGATTAGATTTGATTTAGTAAAGAGATATTTTGGGCTTGGGTTTAGCTTAGGGAGCAAGCTAACCTAAATCTATAAATAAGAGGGAGTAACCCTTATTTTTGTATTCAAGTCATTGAACTCATTCACAGTATTTTGCAGTTGCAAAGTGAATTAATAAAGTTTCCACAGTTTGTGGGCAGAATAGAAATTCTGCAGAAATATCTCCATTGTTCTTTTATTTGTTTGTTTCATAACTTATCATCAAGTGGTGGTCGAAATTCATCATAGAATTTGGTGGATTTCCAAAAAATTTAACTTTGGGATGCAACCAACCAAGTCCTTGAACCTAAACTTTTACCAAAACCAACCATGAAATGGGCATCCCCATTCAAAGATCAATTCATAAAAACAACATAAGCATCAGTAAAAGATTCCAACAACAATCTACAATCTACCACTATGTTATCCAGAGATCCTAAGAATTGGATTTTGTTGATACATGCCACAACGAAAAGAGCATTAGAATGAAGAATGACTCTCTCCAGGGAAATATCATTCGCCAATTGAAGCCCCCATTTGATTTCTAGTAGTTCTGCCATACACAGGTCCACCCTTCCATGATTCATACTACAAGCCGATAGAATTACCCCGTTGTTCTTGTTCCTAAAAACATCCCAAAAGAAGATATCATCATCATAACATCCACCATCAACATTAATAACAACAAAGTCCCTATGGTCAGGGAGGTCAGGCTGCAAATTCACATTATGGATCTTTGCCTTTGGGGTTGGGGAAGCGAGATTGAAGTCCAAGAGTCTTCAAGAGCGTCTAATGCAATCACAACTGGTAAACATGTATTCTGTTTGAAAATTAACTTGTTGCGAGCCTCCAAAATCTTCCATATAATGTAGCATCTCAATTGGAAACCAAATGAATCAGTGGCTTATAAGCAAAACACAATCCAACCATTAACATCCGCACCTAGGGGAATATGACATCCAAGAGAAAATGAGAACCAAACTTGTCTTGCAAAATGACAGTGAAGCATGAGATGCTTTGTTGACTCAGAGTTGGTTTGACACAAGGGGTAACTTGTATCCAAATGTAGACCTTTCTTTTGGAGATTCATCTTTGAAGGGAGAATATTTTTGACCATCACTATAACATTTGTTGTCTCTGGCAACACTTTTTTAGGTAACATGTAGAAATTGTTGCTTTAAATTCATATAGGCAACGATTTACGATTGTTGTCAAAAATATGTTTGCAACCCTTGATAATCGTTGCCTAAAATACTTTTGGGGACGTTTATGGAGCAATACTCTTTTATTTTTTTGCCAACGGTTGTTAATTGTGCCCTTAACTGCTTTTGGGGACGATTTTAGAGCGTTAAAATATTATTTCTTTAGCAATGTTTGACAATTGTCCCCTAAAATATTTTTGGGGACATTTTTAGATTGTTACATTAGTTCTAATAAAAGGCTACATTTCTGAAATGTTGTATAAATTTTTTTAGAATTATCAAATTTTTGGTGGCAATCTTCCCTCAAAACTTATACACTAAAAAACAAATATTTTTCTCTAAACATTATTAATATATATAAAAAAAAATATTTTTCCAACACAGGAATTTAAAAATAAAAAATTTCAATTAAACAGAAAATAAAAAATTATATATATATATATATATATATATATATATATATATATATATATATATATATATATATATATATATATATATATATATATATATATATATATATATATATATATATATATATATATATATATATATATATATATATATATATATATATATATATATATATATATATTAGTCTAAAACTTATATATATTTCAATTAAACAGGAATTTTTCTAACACATTATTAATATTTCTCTAAAACTTATATATATATATTAAAAAAAATTTCATTAAACAGAAAATAAAAAAATTTCTAACACAGGAATTTAAAATATTTTTCAATCCATTCCCGTTCCATTCTTCTCTCGCCGTAAGTCATCTCTATCCCATTCCATTCCTCAACTTCAATAACTGCATCACTTTTCTCACAACATTCTCACTCTCGCTGAATCCAGCTCTCATGATTCCGAAGCAAGTTCGAGAAATCAAGCTTCGCGTAACAGCGACTCCACTCGTTTATCGCTTACTCACTTCCTTGATCGCAAACTGCACAACTCTTCAACAGTCCCTCAAACCGTTCCGGTAAAATTCTGGATCCAAAATTACTCTTAGGGTTTTGGGCTGATTTAATATATATGGGATATGTTGAAGTGTGTTGATGTGTTTGATTTATTTGTTGTTCGTTTCGAAAGCACGTGTTTCTTTTCTTGGATGAAATTTTCTAATTTGTTTTTGAATAGGGGAAATTGACGCCTTTTCAATCACCGGCCAGTGAGCAAGATGGAAGCGTCAAACTAACTGAAGAAGAGAGAAAGTCTGCAACTGCTGATGAGAAGTTGATTTTGGGAATGTTCAAGCAAGAGGGAAAATGTGACTTTGTTCCTCCGTTAGATCTTGATGAGTTAGGAAATTCTGTGGCAGGTGATGGTCAAGGAGCTAGGAAAAGGAAAAATCCATTTGAAGGTTTGGATTCCTATCCCAATGAACTTGAGCACGCGTTTTGGCTCTGTTATTTATTATTCTTATGGGAAAGTTGAAACTGTTATTTAGGGAAATAATACAATTAAAGTGTCCTTGTCTTTTACTTTATCGACTAGTTAGTGATTGCAAGTGAGGTTCTTTGTTTAATTTATTGATGTCATAGAGAGATATTTGTTTCAGTCTATTTTACTTGGAATGGTCATGAAAAAAGATTTTATACTGACAACCATTTTAACTCCATTTTGGAAGATCAAGTAGGCACCATGTCTCTGATTTCATACTATGTATGCCGTTCATTGTCATATGCTTCTTTAGGAAACTTCAATGTATGCCATTATTTCAGATTTTTTGATTTTGGTAGCAAGCAAGTATGAGTCTTGCACTTCTCTTAGGGTTTCATTGTTTGATTTTAAAGTTGGTTGGCAATCCTCTTTTCGGCCGAATATATTGATCAACTATAGATTATTCAGAGGAAGGCAAAAGAGTTGTATGTATTGGGTACAGGGACAGGACAACTGCATAAGACTGATTGAGAAGTTCAGATGGAGTTGTCTAATGCTAAACCCCCCCTTTTTTTATGTACCTAGATTGGTGTCGAGACTCAAAAACCTATCCAGATAGATAACTTATGGTCAAACCAATAGAATATGCAGACCATAACATTATAAATTTCAGTTAAGGTTAAGACACCAAAAACTATAGTATAGGATGCAAACTTGTTTCTTGGGCTGTGGTGTAGGCATGATTTTGAGTGTAACTATTACATGATGCTAGTTTTCACCCAACGAGTATACTGATATTGGACATTTGGTATGAATGTGATAATTCATAAAAAAATATCCATGAAGGCAACTGATAATGATATTGGACTTTGACTTTGTGCATGTTTAGATTAAAAGTTCACCAATTTATTCTAATTATTAAAAAAAAGTGTTTCATTTCTTGATCTTGTCTTATCTTATAATTTATGTAGCGGAAGTTTATCTTGCTGGTTGAAGCACGAGATTGGATTGAGACCACTGTTAGAGAGGCATGGAGAAGATATAAGCACAAAATTAAGAAGAATCATTTTTTGAAGTATTCCAACATGACCGAGAGACTCAAAAATCGTCCGCCAAACGTGCCAATATTTTGAGTCAACATAATATAGGAAATTCCAATTAAGGATGTTATAGGAGAATGCTGAATTGATGTGTATATAGATATACGGTGTAAGCATTTATCACACAATGCTTCCAAGTTTGTGAAATTTATTCTTATTTCGTTTCAAAATGTGATTATGACTTCCATATATGTAATGAAAGGGGGTTTATGCATGCATAGATGTATGTTTATTTTGATGACATCATTATTGCAAAATACTGAGGCTTTCTCATAAATTGATTTGTTACAGTGGATTTCACTTTGTATCCTTCTTATTAATATGTTTTCCCCTTAAATTTCTTACGACAGAAACGTTTTCAAAATGATATGTCCATAAACAATAATGTGATAGATGTTTTACAAGATCAAAAGTGGGCGCCTATACCCTGGAAAAAGTTGCAGGTCGGAGATATTATCAAGGTGAGTTTGCAGTGTTCTATATGTTTCTGTGCTAGATTTAATTTTGTCTTGTATATGCTCCTAACTAGAACTTACAACCTCAAAAGAAGGGCATTATTAATGATCATTAATCCTATTCTTATGAACTTTCATTAGATGTTGGTTATCAGGTCCTCGGTGGCTGCAATCCTCCTAACATATGTTACGCTTTATTGTGGCAGCACGTTTTCCTTCTGTAATTGTTAAAAATGTATTACAGATATTCTGAATGACATTGCAGGTGATGATGAATTCAATGAATGTTCCTTCCAAAAGAAGTAAACTGGAGAGGAAACTTGACAAGCTCATACTCGCTCTCTTTGCAACACTCTTTATGATGTGTTTCATTGGAGCCATAGGCAGGTATGTCAACTAAATAACCAGTTTGCTGGACTACTTCTAAATTGTTGCTAATGTTTTGGCAGTGCTAGGAAGGGTTGGAATTTGTTTTGTATGAGCTCTGAATTAGATTTATTGTTTTAATTACTGTTCCCAATACTAGTGTTTTGATGGATAATACATGACATGCCCACAACTTGAAATTTTATTTTTAGTTGAGTTGAGATTTAAAAATAAGTAATGATTATGAGTCCTACTATAAGTATTAAATTCATAAAAATTGTAATCAGTGTCAATTTTTTTATAAAAAAACTTAACATAATAATAGCAAGCCTGTTATTATAACTGAAATTTTGTAATTACAGAATGGGAAGTTGAGGAATATGCGCTTTTTATATTTTAGTTTAGTTATATGATATGGTTTATTAGAAAAACAAGTGAAATTTTGAGAAAGCGAGGTAATCCCTTACATTGTAGTAGTATGTATTTGTGAATGATATTATTGGAATTTGTGAATTGCAGCGCTATTTTTGTGAACAAAAAATACTTCTATTTACATCTTGATTCATCAGAGGAGGGCTCAACACAGTTCAATCCAAAAAACAGATTTCTGGTAACGTGTACTTCTTTTGTCAAGATAAATAGCCACCACTGCTCATTCTTTTTCTCTTAACTTATTTGCTAATTCTGAGTCTTATGTTGTCAGGTTTTTATCCTGACTATGTTTACCCTTATCACACTGTATTCAACAATCATCCCAATTTTTTCACTTTATGTGTCTATAGAGGTTTGTGTCTCGGTCATTTGAATTTATACACTCCAAAATTTCCATGTCTTTGTAAAGAGAAAATGTAATTTATTTGTGTTATTGTATCAGATGATAAAATTTATTCAATCAACTCAATTTATCAACAAGGATTTGGGAATGTACCACAATGAAACTAATACACCGGCACTGGCCAGAACTTCAAATCTGAATGAAGAACTTGGACAGGTAAGTAGCCACCATGTGTTTTGCTTGTAGGTGTAAAATAAATATTCTTGATTTAAAAGGAAGAGAGTGGAAGAAAAGGTACAAAATAAGATATACACAAAATGGTGGAGGTTTGAAGGCAAACACAAAAGAAATAAAAGAAGACAGTAATATAAAAAAAGGTTTCTGAAATAATAATGACCTTTTAAGAAACTCGGAATAAAAGTGGTTTAGTATTGCAAACGGTTACATCTTCACCAGGTTCTCACTGTGTATGAAGCTATCCTTTCAAAACCCCTTCTCGATGTCTCTCATGATTTAGTTATTTTCATAATGAAAGAAGTATTGTTTTCCCTTATTGCTTTTGCACTCCCGAAATGCATGCTGTTAGTTTCTGTTATAACATGTAGTTAGTTTCTGTTTTAACAGCTCCTTGAATTCAGGAACCGTTCCCTTGATTTTAGGGAGTTAGTTTAGTCTAACTACAACTCGATAAATAGAGTTGAATCTATTGTACTCGGTAAGAATGAAAAAAATAATAATACATTCTGATTTTTCAATATCGTATCAAATCCTTATCTAACATAATCAAGCCTTATCTTTAATCTACGTGGGATTCAGGTTTTCCAATATGAAATATAAATTGTTTTGAAGTTCCTGTATTTTTTTCTTGTCATATTTCAATGTGAAACAAACTGATTTATTAGGTGGAATACATTTTCTCTGACAAAACTGGGACCCTAACAAGAAACTTAATGGAGTTCTTCAAGTGTTCGATAGGAGTAGAGGTCTATGGAAATGGTGTGACTGAAATTGAGAGAGGACTAGCAGAGCGCAATGGCATGAAAATTGAGGTAGTACTCTTGTTGTGTATTGTAAGAAAGTAGATGACCTGTTTTGAAATAGTACAATTATGTCTTATTATTTCTCTACAGGAAAATAGACCGCCCCATACTGTGCATGAGAAGGGTTTCAATTTTGAAGATGCCAGGCTTATGAGAGGAGCTTGGAGGAATGAACCCAATCCTGATGCCTACAGAGTAAATGATTTTGCTTTACTTTGAATTAATGGTAGCAGTTTATTTTATCTTTAAACCTAGTCTTGAGTTTTTGGTTTGTAAGTTTGATCCTTCCCGAGTAAGGTTCTTATATACATCCATCTATGTTTTAAAATGGAAAATCAGTTGCCTTAATCCGTGCTTGCTTGTTGCATGTTATACATAAGCTATTGGTTCGCATTTATCCAAGAAATTATATGAGATTTCTCTCAATTGTAAACATCTGTCACGAGTTCCATATAAAGTTTGTATGTCTGAGCTGGATACTTAAAAATCTAATTTCTAATAAATGTATATGGTTTTATTTCATTCTATGTGTATTGCACTATCACCCTCATCTGTCATGGGTTGCATATAAAGTTTATATGTTCAGAGGTGGATACATAAAAGTCTGCAATTTCTAATAAATGTATACATTTATTTTATCCTATTTGTGTATTGTACTGTCAATCTGTCATGTTCTGTAATTTTAATCCCTGCAATTTCTAATAAATGTATACATTTATTTTATCCTATTTGTGTATTGTACTGTCAATCTGTCGTGTTCTGTAAGAAGATACAACAAGTAAGAGTGTTCATCAGAGTTCATTTACTCCAAAAAATAAACATAAAAGGATAGCACAAGTTATACATACATACATACAGTTAAATGCTATTGTAAGTCCTGAATAGTGAGTCAAAAACAGAATGGTTTTCGTAATTGATTTATTTGCTAGTAAGCTCATGTCACCTATTACAGTTTAGAACGAAAATTCACGTCCATTAAAAACCTTAATAATTAATTCACATCCATGAGATGTGAAGAATATAAACAATGTGTTTTGCTCATTGGTTTAGTTTTTATTTGTGCGAGGTTTAATTCTTGTTGATGTCTTAATTGTCCTTTGGACCAAAAATACTTATGGTTAATGTGTTTTATTTTATTTCCTTATGCAGCAATGTATCAATGAAGATGTTGAAAAGGACGATATAAATGATGAAATTCAAGAGGACGACATAAATGATAAAATTCAAGAGGACGACCTAAATGATAAAATTCAAGAGGACGACGTAGATGACGAATTTCAAGAGGACGACATAGATCTAGATGATGAATTTCAAGAGGAGGATATAGATGGTGAATTTCAAGAGGACGACGTAGATGAAGAATTTATGGAGGATAACATATCTAACGAATTTCAAGAGGACGATCTGGATGCTTTACTCCTAGAAGACAAACTTGAATGAGTTGGATGATGTCTTTTTTTTTGGCTTGTAGTTAAAAGCATTAAACTTGAAATATGATTTTTGTTCTTTTGCTGAACTATGTTTTTAGTTATTTTACTAGGGTCATACTTCAAAGTATTAAAAGTAATATTGTTACGTTAGACATTTTGTGTACTCTATATACTATATCTTGAATTAAAGTTTGAACTCGATTTTATTATATTACAAGTTTTATGGATGTATGGTTTAAGTTATATAATCAATATTATTTTTGAAGCCAATTATTATTGACTATATTATTTTGATAATAATTGCAAAATTGTATATTTTATGTGGACACTATAAAACAACAACCTATAAGCTATGGCTACACTTCAAAAACAATCTTCCTGATTCAGGTTTAAGGCAACGATTGTTAATTGTAGCCGAATTTGGCAACGCAACGCTTAAAAAACGTTGTCTCAGAGGCCGTAAATAATCGTCCCCTATTCCTTTACTATAGGCGACGTTTTTCAAAAGCGTTCCCAAAAAACATAAAAAAAACGTCGCCTCAAACAATAGGCAACGCTCGCACATGAGACGCCTAGAAAACGTCCCCTATTGTTTTAGGCAACGATTTTCAGAGTTCTGGCAACGTTTTTCAATTGTTGCTGGAGAGCCTAAATGTTGTAGTGCATACTCACCATTTGATTTTACCAACAGGTTTTCTTCCAGATAAAGTGATGCTGATAACATTGATAACTGTGGGATATTGGATCGAACTCTAGTATGATCGAAGTACATGCAGTAGTCGAAGAAAGGGTCTAGCATGTATTTGTCGAAGATGCTTGTTAAATTAGGTTTTAGTGTTTAAACCCTAATTTGTTAAGTTAGCTTGTTTATTAAGTTAGCTTGTATAATGGGCCTTGTGGAAAAAGCCCATTAGTTAGTATGTTAGGTTTTATTATAAATAGCATACTAGTCTCTCATCATTGCATTACAGCAAATCCTAATAAAGGGTGAGAGGGTTATTTGTTATTCTTGTAAACTTGTAATCTTGTTTCCTAAGAGAAAGTAAAGAATAGCAGTTATAACCAATTCTTGTGTTCTTCTTCTTCCTTGTTTGATATTCCTCCCTTATTCTATACTTTGTTATTGGCATTGAATTCACAACAAATTGGTGCGGTGAGCGTGGAGAAGATGCCTTCAACAAAGTATGAGATTGAAAAGTTCACCGGAGTGAATGATTTCGGTCTATGGCGCTTGAAGATGAAAGCCCTACTAGTTCAGCAGGGTTGTTTGGAAGCGTTGAAGGGAGCGACGGCGATGGACGCTGCGTTAACAGAAAGAGAGAAGACGGCCATGATCGAGAAAGCACACAGCGCAATTTTGTTGAGCCTTGGTGATAAGGTTCTTCGACAGGTATCAAAGGAGACGACGGCATCAGGGTTATGGGTGAAACTTGAAAGTTTGTATATGACCAAATCTCTGGTAAATCGACTCTACCTGAAGCAAGCTTTGTATTCATTCAAGATGATTGAAGACAAAGTGTTGGCTGAGCAGTTGGATATGTTCAACAAGCTGATTCTTGATCTTGAAAATATTGATGTAAAGATTGATGATGAAGATCAAGCGCTATTATTATTGTGCGCTTTGCCCAGATCACATGCTCACTTCAAAGAAACCCTCTTGTATGGAAGAGAGTCCCTGACCTTTGAAGAAGTTCAATCAGCTTTGTACTCTAAGGACTTGAACGAACGTAAGGAGCATAAACCTTCGACGGTTGGTGAAGGTTTGGCTGTTAAAGGAAAATTCGACAAGAGGAAAGGTAAAAATCAGTCGAAGTCTTATAGTGGTGATGCATCTGGTATTAGATGCTATCACTGTAAGAAAGTAGGTCACACAAGAAAGGTGTGCCCTGAACGCCTGAAAGATCATGGAGGTAAGGATAATGGCAATGCAGCTATTGTCCAAGATGATTTCGAATCATCTGATGTTCTTGTGGTTTCAAGCAACAACTCGTCGAAGGAGTGGATTATGGATTCTGGATGCACTTGGCACATGACTCCAAACAAAGACTTGTTCGAGGAATTATGTGATCAAGATAGTGGATCTGTATTGCTGGGAAACAACAAAGCTTGCAAGATTGCAGGCGTTGGATCTGTGAGATTCAAGCTCCATGATGAGTCAATAAGATTGTTGACTGAAGTCAGGTATGTACCTGATTTGAAGAGAAATTTGATCTCTCTTGGTGAATTCGACAAGAAAGGATATGTGTTTCAAGGAGAGAAAAGTATCCTGAGAGTCATGAAAGGGTCGAAGGAAGTCTTGAGAGGCGTGAAGAAACAAGGCTTGTATACCCTTGAGGCTGAAGTTGTAAGTGGTTCGACAAATGTTGCATCCACGAAACCTTTGTCGAAGACAGAAATTTGGCACATGAGATTGGGCCATGTCAGTGAAAGGGGTCTGGTCGAATTAGGGAAACAAAATCTGCTTGGTGGAGATAAAGTCGAAAAGCTGAAGTTTTGTGAACCCTGTGTACTTGGAAAGTCCTGTAGAATGAAGTTCAACAAAGGCAAACAAAGAACACATGGATCCCTTGATTACATCCATGCTGATCTTTGGGGGCCTGCAAGGTGTCCATCACATTCAGGAGCAAAGTATTTTCTATCCATAGTAGATGACTATTCCAGAAAGTTATGGGTATTCATCCAGAAGACTAAGGATGAAACTTTTGAGAATTTCAAAAGTTGGAAGACTCTTGTCGAAAATCAAACTGGCAGAAAGGTAAAGAGGTTGAGAACCGACAATGGCCTTGAGTTTTGCAATGAGGCGTTCGACAGTTTTTGTGTTGCCTCTGGTACTGCAAGGCACAGAACTACCGCAGGTACTCCACAACAAAATGGTTTGGCTGAAAGGTTTAATCGAACTATTTTGGAGAGAGTTAGATGCATGTTGACTAGTGCGGGATTAAAGAAGGTGTTTTGGGCTGAGGCTGTTTCGACAGCAGCATATCTGATAAACAGATGTCCTTCGACAGCGTTAGATATGAAGACACCTGAAGAAGTTTGGTCGGGACATCCACCAGATCTCGACAAACTAAGAGTATTTGGCTGTGTAGCCTATGCTCACATTAGGCAAGACAAGGTCGAACCTAGAGCTCTGAAATGCATGTTTATGGGATACCCTGAAGGAGTGAAAGCTTATAGGCTATGGTGCCTAGAGCCAGGTCACAGGAGGTGTATCACCAGTCGAGATGTAGTTTTCAATGAAACTGAAATGGTTTTCAAGAAAACTGATGATGTTGACGAAGAGCTGGAACAGGTAGAGATTCCTGTTGAGGTGGAGCATGTTGATGCTGAAATGCGTATCCCAGATGAAGTCGAAGAAGAAACAGAAGATTCTGATGATGTTGAGGAAACTGTTGATGACTACCTATTGTCGAGAGATAGGCAAAGAAGAGTCATAAAACCACCTCAGAGACTTGGATATGCAGATCTTGTAGCTTATGCCTTAATCTCTGCAAGTGAAGTTCTAGACGAAGAACCTAGAGATTATAAGGAAGCTATAAGGAGTCGAATGAAGACTGAATGGCTAAAGGCCATGCATGATGAGATGAAATCTCTTCATGATAATCACACTTGGGAACTAATCGAGAAACCTGTTGGGGCAAGGTTAGTCAGCTGTAAGTGGATTTTCAAAGTTAAGGAAGGAATTGAAGGAGTAATGTCGAAGAGGTACAAGGCAAGATTAGTCGCAAGGGGTTTCACTCAGAAAGAAGGTGTCGACTTCAATGATGTATTTTCCCCTGTTGTGAAGCACAGATCCATTCGAATGTTGCTTGCCATGGTGGCTCAGTTCGACCTTGAACTGGAACAAATGGATGTGAAGACTGCGTTCTTGTATGGTGACTTAGATGAAACGATCCTGATGAGGCAACCTGAAGGGTATGTCGAAAAGGGGAAAGAAGATTATGTGTGCAAACTGAAGAAATCTTTATATGGACTTAAACAATCTCCTCGACAGTGGAATAAGAGATTCGACAAGTTCATGGAACACATAGGTTTCATTAGAAGTCAGTTCGACCACTGTGTTTACTCCAGATTTCGACCTGAAAATTCATTTGTTATTTTGTTGCTTTATGTTGATGATATTCTGATAGCAAGCAACAATGTCGAAGATGTAATGAGGGTGAAGGCTGAACTCAATAAGGAGTTCGACATGAAGGATCTGGGAGCTGCATCTAGGATTCTTGGAATTGACATTCGAAGAGATAGAAAGCAGTCGAAATTATGCTTATCTCAAGAGGCATACCTACGAAAGATTCTTGACAAGTTTGGTATGTCGAATTCAAAGCCTGTTGTGACTCCAACAAACCCTCAATTCAAGCTGAGCATTGATCAATGTCCCAGTACTGATGTCGAAAGAACCTATATGAACAGCATCCCATATGCTAATATAGTTGGTTCTTTGATGTATGCTATGGTCTGTACTAGACCCGACATAGCATATGCAGTAAGTCTTGTAAGCAGGTACATGGCGAATCCTGGAAAGGCTCACTGGCAAGCGTTAAAGTGGATTCTAAGGTACATAAATGGGTCTCTGAACAGAGTCTTAATTTATGGTGGAGCCTTGGGTGAAGATAGTAAAGCAGTTGTCGAAGGCTATGTTGACTCTGATTATGCAGGCTGTATGGATTCCAGAAAATCTATTTCTGGATATGTTTTCACTATGTTTGGTACAGCAATTAGCTGGAAAGCAACTCTTCAGAAGGTTGTTGCCTTATCAACTACTGAAGCAGAATATATTGCCCTAACTGAAGCTGTGAAAGAAGCATTGTGGCTTGAAGGTTTTGCAAAGGAGCTGAAACTTCAAGGTCAAGGTATCACTGTTAAATGTGATAGTCAAAGTGCAATACACCTGTCGAAGAACTCAGCCTATCATGAGCGAACCAAGCACATAGATGTGAGGCTGCATTTCGTCAGAGGGGTAATCGAGCGTGGAGAAGTCCAAGTGCTGAAGGTCTCGACAGATCACAATGC